CTTCTGAGCTATTACAGTGGTACCTCGTTTTAAGAACTTAATTTGTTCTTGAGGTCCGTTCTTAACCTGAAACTGTTCTTAACCTGAAGCACCACTTTAGCTAATGGGGCCTCCCGCTGCCGCCGCTGTGTGATTTCTGTTCTCATCCTGAAGCAAAGTTCTTAACCTGAGGTACTATTTCTGGGTTAGCGCAGTCTGTAACCTGAAGCGTCTGCAACCTGAAGCGTCTGTAACCCGAGGTACCACAGTAGTTGTTTCTACTGACACTTTTAAGTGACGTTAATCTTTTATTTGGGTGGAGTAGGTTATGCCCTTTTTATGTTATTGCAGGGTGAGCTCTTTTAGTTAATAATATTTTTTAATCTTTTGGTATTATATGCTTTAAAAATGTAGCCATTGTGAGGTTTTCCCACCCTGCAATAATGTGTGTGTGTTCCTCCCCAGAAAACTACCTGCTTTCCTTTTTAAAACGTGCAAGCTAATCCTCATGCCACCTGATAGCCTGTTTGCAAAGATCCAAAAGCTTCAAAAGATTCATGAAGTGTATATCTTGTTGCTCTTTGGTTGTTCCCCCCTCAGAAGGTTCTCCTGGCCCCTACTTCAGAGGCATCAAAATGGCATCGCTCAAAATCCTTATCAACAAGAATCCATAATCCAAGGAAAGACATGGCTGGCTATCTGAATATTTTGTCTCACATCTGGGCTTTTTATACTTCCTTTGCTTCTGGTATTCAGCAGCTAGCTAAGATGTAGGATCTGCAAGATATGCAATTTTTCTCCAACAAGAAAAGAAGCAATTGCATTGCCCTCTAACTGGGAGCAGGCTTTGAAAGTTGGGGAAGTGATAGGAATTTCTGACACATCGTCAGGGTTTTGTTTTTTTATTCTGGCACTTGAAAATAGGGTTGCCGTATTTTGAATTGCAAAAAAGAGAGGATACATTTGCCAACTTCTACTTTTAACTATGAATCGCTATGACGACTCTCTACCCATGAAAAAAAGGATGTGTCCTGGGAAAAGAGGACATATGGCAACCCAGATTCAGGTAGGTAGCCATGTTGGTCTGACACAGTCAAAATAAATTAAAAATTGTCCAGTAGCACCTTAGAGACCAACTAAGTTTGTTCTGGGTATAGGCTTTTGTGTGCATGCACACTTCTTCAGGGGTGTGTGTTTGTTCCTTTAACATTTCTAGAGTCCCTATTTGTAACGACGCAATCCTAAATTAATCACAACTGAGACATCCTTCAGGTTTTCGAAGGCCAAAGGGGGGGGCAGAGAGAATGCAAATTCCTCTTAGTGATCATAAGCAATATTGCTTTTTAATACTGCGATTAATATCTTCTCTATTGATGAATTGCTTCTGACACTTGCAATTAAAACAGAAGATTCAGTCATTAGAGGCAATCAATCTGAATATGCACCTTTTTTTAAAAAAAAATGAATTAGATTGCATTGAACTTTGGGTATTAGACCAGCCAAACCTTGTGACTTCTCTTCGTATCACTTGGTTTCATTAAGGACTATCTGGATTATGAGGCTGTAATGCAATATATAATTTGCTTTTAATGTGTGTGAAGCCCTAGAGCCTGCAAATGAAATAAGAACCAGACGCTTGTCCCATGTAAAAAATAAACCAAACAAGACTTTTCTGCCATTATTACCATATATATTCAATTGGGTGGAATGATGCCAAGCATGCATATCAGATCAATTCGAACTAATGGTTAGACAGTTGAACTTGGGGTCAAATGCTACATCAGCTTTGAGCCTGATAGGATGGCTTCAGAGCAAATCATGGAAATTAGATGTGCATATTATTTTTTTACAAATGATCTGTATTCCAATTCAGCCTTCCTTTTAAGGCTGGGGTTGAGGAACCAATGGCAAGGAAGCTCCCCTCTGTCCGGCCCTTGGGACTATCCCTTATCCCCTGCCATACACTTGCTCCCAAGGCCATATGGTTTGGCTTCATACCATTCTTGAGTGTTCCTTGCTTGATGGAAATGTATCACTGAACTCTGATAATGATGCTTGCTTGCTTGGATTGATGGAAGATAGAGGCATGTGTGTAGAAACTATTGTAGATATTAATATTGAAAAGCTTAAAGCAATAGGATGCATAAAAACTAACTCCTCTTGGAATAAAAAGTGTCCAGACCCATCAATATGATTCAAAAGCTTTAATTACAGGACTTGTTCCAAAAACAAATACAAAAAAGAGAAATAAATGGTACATCCAAACAGTTGTATGACATCATGTGCACGTCCAGCACAGGCTCCATCTTCTTACTAATTTGAAATAACTCCAAACAGACCTAAAATCAGAAATCTCTCCATGCAGCCTTCATTAGCCTGGAGCTGCTTTCTCTTCAGGGGAGACCTCATTAGCACATCCTTTATTTCTCTGTGGCTTCCAGAGAACATCAACACCATGTAGGTGCTAAGAGAGCTCTTCTTAGCTTCAATATACCCCAGCCGAATTTTCCACTTAAATCTTTGGCAATACACATACAGGCTTGTTCCATTTCAATGTCAGTTAAGCCATTATACTTAACAGAAACTAGCCAACTGAGAACACAGGACCTGTGTGAGAATTTCTCGATTCCCTTCTTTCCTCACTGCCTTCTCAGCCACAATGTTCCCCTTTTCACCTCATCTTCCACTGCACTTAGTTCCTTCCCTCTCCCTGGAGATCCTGGACGAAGGATTTCCCACCCTCACCCCAGGCAAACCAACTTTCCATTTCTCCAGCGGCAGCACTGTTGCTCAGCATTCCACGTCCAACTCTTCCTTCTTCAGAGCTATGGCAGGGCAGAGTGGAGAAGACCTCTCAACATCTCAGTCTGGTTCACAACCAACAACACTGGAACCTCCTTTTGGGCCGTGCTTCAGGGTGTCCTAAACATCTTTCTCACTGCATGTGTGACACTTCCCTTCTTCCAGTTTCCCCCCCTTTGCATCTCAGCACAATGCCAGAAGATGGAGAAAGTCAACTGGCTTGTTTTCCAGGAGTGTGTTCCATCACAACTTAAAAGTAATCAATCTGACACCGAACAAACTTATTTTAGGTATATTTGGGGTGGGAGGAGAGGGCCCTTCTCCAAGGGGAGACATTTCACACCCCACAAAATCCCAGTCTCATCCCGGACTTTCTCATGGCCAATAATTTGCCCCAGTCATTCATTGCAGTCCCAGAGGTACAAACAAAGAGTATTGCTGCCTTCATTGAGAGACCAGCCTCTGTAAAGCTTGGGTTACGAATGAGACTCCCAAATCACTTGTCTGCAGCAGATGGCTGCAACAGATGCCTCAATGGAGGCTGTGTTTAAATCTGGCAAAACAGCATCTAAAATGTAGGTTTGTTAAAAATGTAAAATGTGACTCAGCCATGCTCAAAATATGATATATTTACAACACAATGTTGAGAAAGGAGGTAATTTTGAACGCCAAATTGAGCTCCATAAAGAATAATATTATACACATATACCATAATGTATGTACTTAGGGAGGTTTTTTTAAAAAATAAAAAACCTATCTTTTAAAAATCTTGTCTTAAGGACAGGAAGAAAACCCCTCACTCTGTAGTACTACCTTTTGAATCTGTTTCAGTCATTTTCAGCACACTTTCTCCTAGTTTAGACAAACACTTCGAATGCTACAGCTCCACATTTTTCGAACAGTTGGACATGAAAACTGTTTGGGAAACAGAAGCAATATCTTGATTTTTTTTTAAAAAAAGTGCAGGCACACACAGCTGTTGAACATTTGTGGAGAACTTTTAGCCCACAATTTGTTTTTGGCGTGTGTGTGTGTGTAAAGGTTTGATTATGTATGGAGAGATTTTAGCAACTTTCCCCCAGGTGTGACGGGTAGGCAGTGGAATGCACATCTTCAGGAGGGGGCCTCTTCTGCCCCCTCAATATTTGGGGGGGGGCTTGGCTCCTGTTATGTACTGAGCTGAATCCTAGAACAATAGGATCCAGAATGCAGCAGTCTGATTGGTCTGCAGGAGCCACCCAATCCAGCTTCAGGTAGAAGTGAATCCGCAACCTGATTGGCTTGCAGGAGCAGCCAATCAGGCTTCTGGAGGAAGTGAATCCACAACTTGATTGGCCTACAGGAGCAGCCCGGAATTAGCCAATCACACGGGGGCCATTGTGTAAGTAATGTATACATAGCTAGATGTTTTGGGGAAAGTTTCATTCATTGCTTCCACGAGCTGAATAAAGAGCATGAAATTCACACTCGACTCCGATTATATTTCAGCTCCCTGCCTAAAAATATTGTGGGGGCCGAGGCATCCACAGCTCTGTGGCAATGGCTCCTATGCACCAAACCTATTCTCTAAGAGACCTGACACATTGGAGAGAAGCTTGGTGTGTATTTTAGGGGTACACACACAGAGGATCCCTGGGTTCTGTAAAGCACCACTTTCAAACAAGTGCATCGAAAGACCTCCCTCCCCAGCTTATCATGAGATTCTCTCTCTAAGCTGCATAGCTTTTCAGGACTGCAAGCAAGAGGAGAGTGAGAATTAATGTGTTGCCTTAGATAACACTGCCCCATTCTGGGTAGATGTGCAAACATCTTAGCAGGGAAACATCTCCACGTCCGGCCATCTGGATATGAATTTATGTTGGAAGATAGATCTTGGGGGAGTTGCATGCCCTGTCCTTTTGACATATTCCACATTTTGTGATGTTCCCAGGGTTTTTGTACACTGTTTGAAGTTAGAATGATAGCAAACTCCCCTTCCTTAACATTAAAGAGATGAGAACCATGTTGTTTTGTGAGTTTGGAGGGGGATTTACTTGAAAATGCCAATAAAGATGTGACACAGATTTTTATCTCAGAATCCTCTTCTGGTGGCAGGAAGCTGGTTCCATTTAGCACAAATTCCATTCTGATTTCTGCAGAACAGGCAGAAGGGCAAGAAAAATGGTTTCCCACCTTCACCTTGACCCTAATGGCAAAATCTGTGTGGAATTGAGGAGAAAAGCCATAGCTCAGTAGTAGAGCATCTGCTTTGCACACAGAAGGTCCCAGGTTCAGTCCCCAGGATCTCCTGGTAGGGCTGTGAGAAAACTGTGTCTGAAATCCTGGACTGCTGCTGTCAATCAGTGTGTAAGGTAAAAAAGTAAAGGACCCCTGGACAGTTAAGTCCAGTCAAAGGCAACTATGGGGTGCGATGCTCATCTCGCTTTCAGGCCGAGGAAGCAACCGTTTGTTCGCAGACAGCTTTCTGGGTCATGTGACCAGCATGACTAACCCACTTCTGGCACAACAGAACACCGTGGTGTATGCCATTTACCTTCTTGCCACAGCAGTACAGTGGACGCTTGGGTTGTGAACATGATCCGTGCGGGATGCACCTTCGCAACCCGCAGCATTCGCAACCCGCAGAGGCGCATCTGCGCACGCGCAGGTTGCGATTTGGCGCTTCTGCGCATGTGCAAAGCACGATTTAGCACTTCTGCGCATGCGTGACTGCCGAAACCTGGAAGTAACCCATTCAGGTACTTCCGGGTTTCGGCGGTCTGTAACCCAAAAAAACGCAAGCTGAAGCATCTGTAACCTGAGGTATGACTGTACCTATTTATCTACTCGCACTGGCATGCTTTCAAACTGTTAGGTTGGCAGGAGCTGGGACAGAGCAACGGATTCGAACCGCTGACCTTCCAATCAGCAAGCCCAAGAGGCTCAGTGGTTTAGACCACAGCACCACTCGCTCCCTTACAAACAATGTGTAGATAATACTGAGCTAGATGGAGCAATGGTCTGCAATGGTCTGACTCAGCAGAAGGCAGCTTCCTTTGTTGCTGTCATCCATCCATCCATCTCAAAAGTGGGCTGCACCACCAGTCATGGAGGAAAAAGAAGACGTGCAGAACCTCACAGATATGCCCTAATTATTTTAATGATATCAGGCATAACATATCTCCCAACTTCAAGATCTCATCCATGCATTGAGAATTTTCAGCTCTGCCTAGAAAATATTCAAACAAACGTTTTTTAAAAACAGAAGCCTTTTTATTGGGAATATTAGAACCAGATATTGCAAAGGAAAATAAGGGAATTTTTCTTTATGCGACAGCAGCAGCAAGAATTCGAATTGCCAAAAAATGGAAAAATGAAACAATCCCAGCAACAACAAAAAGAATGTCAAGATAAGTTATTTGATTATTTAGAATTGGCTAAACTACAGAGGCAATTAGAGACCAATCCAAACGAAAATTTCAAAAAGAATGGGGAAAATACAGTGAATACTTGAAAAAGCAGTGCCCTCAAATTAATACTTGGACTTGTCGGGACTAATTTCCACAAAATAAGATATGATGTAAAAATGTAAGTTATAGAGGGAAAATAGAGAAGAGGAATTGAGAAAGAAACAGTTTATTAAATACAGTGGTACCTCGTGTTATGGACAGGATCCATTCCGGAGACCTGTCTGTAATGGGAAATGCCCGTAACTCGAAGCGTTGTGTCTGTGCAGGCGTGTGGCGCGATTTGGCACTTCTGCACATGTGCAAAGCATGGTTTAATGCTTCTGCGCATGTGCAAGTGGTGAAACCCGGAAATAACCCGTTCTAGTACTTCCGGGTTGCCGCGGGACGTAATGCGAAAGGACGCAACATGAAGCTGACGCAACACAAGGAATGACAGTATACAACCGGACCAGCATTGAGGGGGAAGGAAGTCAAATAGAAATGAATAAGAATTAAAATAGGGGTGTATGTGTATTGTTTGTTCTATGTGTGTAGCTATATCTTTTTGTATGCTTGTCTTGTGAGTGACGTCTGTGTTGGTGTTCGTATAATAAGTTAATAAAAGCATTAAAAATAAATTTAAAAAGAGAATCTTCAGCTTTCCCTAAACTAGACTTTAAAAAGATAACAGGTCTCTTCAAGACTACCACATAAAACGGAACAGAAAGGCTGCCTTGGCGACTCTGACTGAAGATCCCAAGCCATTTACTGTTGGGATACTGCCAGGGAGATAAAGTCCATCAAGGCCCCCAAGCCGTCTGCCGGACGATCCATCGACCTCCCGTAGGCACGCAGCGACATGAGTTTCTAGAAAATATCTTGCCACATTCCAGAGCTCATGCACACTCTATCAGCAATTAGCACAGCCAAAAGTTGCACTCAGGAGAGCATTATTTACAAGTTTATTCAGCGTTGATCAGAACACAGAAAAACATGACTGCCTGCTTTAGTGTCTGCGACACCAGAGAGAAAACGAAAGCAACAGAAAACATAAACATCCTGTGAACAGGAAATACGCAGACTCTGACTCACAAAGCCTGCTCCCTTTTAAGGTGGAACGGAAATATCCTAACATCCTCCCCCTTTCCGTGTAACCTGTAGTACCTGTGGTTCAACCCAATTGCAACCTTTGTACATAAACCTTAAGTTGTTCTCTGTTAACAACCTTAGACAACAGATCAGCAGGAATTTCATTTCCTGGCATGTAGGACACCTGAATGAGTCCTTTCTGAATACACTCTCTTGCACGATGTAGCTTAATCTGCAAGTACTTGGTCCTTTGCTTGCAACTCTCCGAGTTCAGCAAAGCCAAACACGATCTATTGTCTTGATACACTTGTACAGGACATTTCACAGAAACTCTGATGTCCTTAAACAGTTGCATCAACCATTCACAATCCATGAGTGAAAATGACAGAGCATTGAGTTCTGCTTCACAGGAACTTAGGCTCACTGTCGTCTGCTTCTTGCACAACCAGTCAAACAGGCAGTGGTTGTACATGTAGCATACTCCAGAAGTGCTTGTACCATCCGTGGTGTCACTTCCAAAACTTGCATCTGCAAAGATTTCAAGACCTCCAGTCTTCTGACTGGTGAACCTCAGCCTGTAGTGCAAAGTCCCTTTCAAATAGCGGGCTATGCGCTTCAGAGCTTTCCAATCCTGAACAGTAGGATTGTTAGCATGTCTGCTAAGCAGGTTACAGCTTACAGCTATGTCAGGTCTTGAGCATCTAGCAATGAAATTCAACTTGCCTAGAATGCATCTGTACAGCGTTGTGTCAGAAAACGCTTCAGCAGTACTGTCTACCTGGTAACCTGTCACCATCGGTGTGTCTGCTGGGTTTGCATCAACCAAATTCAACCTGGTTAATACATCAGCAATTTTCTGTGTTTGGTGTACCAGAAAATTACCTGCTTGGTCCCTCTCCACCTGCAGAGAAAGATAGTTGGATACCTCACCAAGATCCTTCATGTCAAAGTGCTCCTTCAGCTGAGCTAGGGTGCTTTGGTACAAAGCCTGATTCTTCCAAAACATCAGAAGATCATCAACAAAACATAAACAATACAGTTTGTTTTGCCCCTCCTCCTTGACAAACACACATGGATCAGCTTTGCCCTGGTGAAAACCTAGAGAAAGCAACGTCTCAGTGAGTTTCGTGTTCCAACACCTGGCACTCTGCTTGAGACCATATAAGGATTTCCGCAGTTTACAGACCATTCCCTTCTGTATCTGCATCCCATCAGGTGGAAGCATAAACAGCTCCTCCTCCAAAATCCCGTACAAAAAGCTGTATTAATGTCATGATGGGAAACATGCAGTTTCTCCTCTGCAGCTATCTTGAGCATCAGCCGAATGCTCTCATATTTGACGGTGGGTGAGTAGGTCTCGTGGTAATCCTGTCCTGGTACCTGTGAAAAACCTCTGGCAACCAATCTGGCTTTGTGTCTGACAACCTTGCCATTCTGGTCTGTCTTGGCCTTGAAGACCCATTTGCTGCCAACCAGTCTCATTCCTGGGACTACCGGTACCAGTTCCCAAGTTTGGTTCCTATTCAAGGAATCAACTTCAGCCTTCATGGCATTAAGCCAAGGCTCAGCATCTTTAGAGGTTAACTCCTGAACCTCTTTGAAGCTTGAAGGTTCCCACACCTTCTCTGAGCTACTAAGAACAGCAGTTGCTGTCTTAGCAAACTCATCAGCAAATCTCTTTGGAGGTCTGCCCTTTGTGGCTCTTTCAGATCTGCGTACTAGACGCAAGTCTTCTGGACTCATCTCCTCCTTCTTAGGAGAAAAGTGACCAATGGTGAACAGTGGTTCTTCCAGTTCATTGTCAGACGCATCAGATGGTCTGACTGAGGCCTTTGCGCTCTTGTAGTCTGCTGTGTCATCACTGTCACTGACACCAGCAGCAGCGCCGCCCACTGAACTGGAATCCGAACTCTGATCATCATCGTCATCATCATCCTCAGCAGCTTCCTCAGCTTTAGCTGCTTCTTTGACATCACCTTCATCCTCCTCTGGGTAACTCTGGAAAATTCCCACATTTTCCCCCCACTTAGGATTGTACTCAACACTCTTTGTGAACTTAATGGACTTAGAGTTGGTCATCCATACCCTGTATGCACCTTTTCGTACCCCATGAACAAACCATGTGCCCCACGCTTCCCAAGCTTGTTGCTCTGTGGGGTGTGTACCCACATGTCAGAACCAAAGATTCTCATGTGTTTGATGTTGGGTTTCTTACCAAACATCTTCTCATAGGGGTACAACCAATAGGTGATGACAATCTGCGATTATAAGTGTAAGCAAAATTCGACAGAGCCTCCCCCAATACTTATCAGGAGATTGGCATCATGCAACAATGTTTTCATTCCTTGCAGCAACGTTTGATTTGCTCGCTCCGCAAGCCCATTCATCCATGGCGATCTAGGCGTTGACAAGTCATGCTGGATTCCCTTCTCAGTCAGGAAAGCTTCAAACTGCTGAGAAGTGAACTCCCGCCTCGATCAGTAAACAGACAGCCAATACGTTTACCGTGAACATTCTCCAACCAAGCACAGAATGCCTTGAACTTAGGAAACGCTTGCGATTTCTGCTCGAGCATAAACACATGAATGTACCTGGAAAAAGAATCAATTAGAACCATGAAGTACCTTGCTCCACCCAAAGAGGGCGCAAGTGGACCAACCAGGTCTGCGTGCACTAGCTGGTAGGGTTTGGAAGCCTGCCTGCTAGACTCCTTGCCTTTTGGAGCAACCTTCACCTTGTTCTCTGCACAAGATACACATTTCATGTGAAACTTACAGGGTTTGATGTTCAAACCCTCAACCATCTCTGGCATCTTGGCCAGTGCCTGCCAAGACATGTGACAAAATCTTCTGTGTGCATCATGAATGCATCCTGCATGAAGAACTTTGTTAGTTTGTGCAACACAACAAGAATCAGCATTAGACACAACAGCACCATTGTCGTCATAAGTTATACAGAACAAGCCATCCATAAACTTTGCATGCAAAATGTCCTCTTTGCCTTTTCTGATGACACAGACGCTCCTCTTGAAGGAAATCTCAAAACCACGCCCAGTCAACTGTGGGACACTGAGCAAATTGTCTGCAGCACCTGGAACATAAAGTACATCTCTGATGGTAGTGTGCAGACTTGCCAGTTTCACAGTCCCGACTCCTGCGATTCGCAACGTCTTTCCGTCAGCCAGGTGGATCTCACCTTCTTGAGGTTTGAAGGAGATAAATAGGTGGCGGTCCTTTGAGACATGGCGGGTACAGCCTGAATCAACAACAAATCTGGCCTTGGCTTTTGGAGCAGCCTTTCTGGCAAGCAAAACCTTGTTTTCCACCGGCGTGGGCTTTTGCAGCTTGCCCCCCTGCTCCTGGCCATCAGACTTGCCTTTAGCCTTTGGTGAGGCTGTGCCAGTGCCAGCAAACAAAACCTTGTTTTCCACTGGCGTGGGCTCTTGCAGCTTGCCCCCCTGCTCCTGGCCATCAGACTTGCCTTTAGCCTTGGTGAGCTGTGCCAGTAAACAAAGCCTTGTTTTCCTCTGGCGTGGGCTCTTCACCCTCCCTCTGCTTCTGGCCATCTGCAGGCGTCTGCCTCTGTTTACCTTTGCCCTTCCGGCCTCTGCAAAGGCGATGACCTTGGCTCCCATGAGAAACAGAGCTCTCAGCTGCCGACTCCTTGGCTCCCCTGGAGGCTGGAATGCTGCCTGGGATGACGTGACAGTCAGCTCCCCTGCAGCTTGCAACCGGTGCCCTCAGCATCCCTGCATTCACTCGCATTCTGGGAAACAGCCAGGACCTCCGATGCAGTCAAACTCTGGGCTGGGATGACTGGCAGATGGGCTATCTTCAAAGCATGCCACATCTTTCGTGCAGTCAGATTGCCAGCTAGCGTCTTTATTTCCTCCAGAGAGACGGACAAGACGATTACGTCTATCGCCCTCAAATTTTCGGACTCTCCATCTTTCTGTCAGAGGAACTGGAGGGGCCTCACACACAGTATGCCACACTCCAAACTGACGCAGCAAGCTCTCACACCACACAGCCCAGGTCCCATAATTGTGCCGATTTAACTTTGGGCACGCAGCAGCCTCAGAAGCCTGGAAAAACTCCATTCCAGGTTTCTACTTGAGCCGTGAATCTTATTCACTTCAGAGACGTCTTATCTCGGCAGCTCATAAATCTTGAGGCCTTTGGCGCGGCTCCCAGATCCAGTTAACAGCCAGCCGGACATCAAAGCTCTTGCCGCGGCAAACAGAAAAGCCTTACTTTCGCTTTTCCTCCACATACCTTTCAGCAGTCTGTCGCAGTCTTACTCTCCTGTAAGTGCTGTGAATCTGGGCCCGAAACCTGTTGTTGGGATACTGCCAGGGAGATAAAGTCCATCAAGGCCCCCAAGCCGTCTGCCGGACGATCCATCTACCTCCCGTAGGCACGCAGCGACATGAGTTTCTAGAAAATATCTTGCCACATTCCAGACTCATGCACACTCTATCAGCAATTAGCACAGCCAAAAGTTGCACTCAGGAGAGCATTATTTACAAGTTTATTCAGCGTTGATCAGAACACAGAAAAACGTGACTGCCTGCTTTAGTGTCTGCGACACAAGAGAGAAAACGAAAGCAACAGAAAACATAAACATCCTGTGAACAGGAAATACGCAGACTCTGACTCACAAAGCCTGCTCCCTTTTAAGGTGGAACGGAAATATCCTAACATTTACATTGTGCCAATTGTGCCAAAGTCACTGTAAATCCTATTGGATGACACTAAGCTTGCTCCAATGTGACAATGGTGAGGAAATGCGGTCTGCCAGAGTGTAAATTGCTGCTGGAATGGTGACAGCCAGCTTTCTGCAACCTGTGTATTCCCTGTGGCAGCAGCCTCTATATACAGACCTAGCAGAAGTGAGGCATGATTTCTTGGCACACACTTGAAAGGAAGACTGGAGAAATTGAGTAATCCTATAGGGACAAGCTAGGAAAGGGCAGGGCTGTATGATTGTGCTAATCAGGTTTAGCCAGTAAAATTGTGCACTGTCCAGATTCTGTCAGTATCTAGGAATGGGTGAATCTGTCAATTTCAGTTTCTCATTTTCAAAATCTCCACATTTCCACATCAACCTGCAATTCTTTAAAAAGTCCTCATGAATATTCATCAGCATTCTCCTGATATACACATGTTTGTATTCACTTTTTCCTTATATATACATTTTTGCAAAGTACCCCCCCCACACCGTAATGCATTTTAACATATTCTTTTCACTAGTGCATGCCTTTGCATACACACGTTAACACTGTACAGTGGTGCCTCGGGTTACATACGCTTCAGGTTACATATGCTTCAGGTTACAGACTCCGCTAACCCAGAAACAGTACCTCAGGTTAAGAACTTTGCTTCAGGATGAGAACAGAAATCGTGCTCCGGTGGTGCAGCAGGAGGCCCCATTAGTTAAAGTGGTGCTTCAGGTTAAGAACAGTTTCAGGTTAAGAACGGACCTCTGGAACAAATGAAGTACTTAACCCAAGGTGCCACTGTATATTCATTTTCTGCAAAATTCAGAAAAGTGTGAATTTTGAAGGTTGTGTTGGTTTTGCCTTTAATGTGAACTGAACCAAATTTCTCCCCCACCCAAGCTCTACCAATAACTCTCAAATAGCTGAGACTCCTGCATTGTAGAGGGTTGGACTTGATGACTCTTGGAATCCCTTCTAACGCTACAATTCTACGATGCTATGATTCTGTTCCTTCTAGGAATCTGCTGTTGACTCACCAGATCATAGAGTTGGAAGGGAACCTCAGGATAATCTGGATCAGCCCCCTCCAATGCAGGAATATGCAGCTGTACCACACAGCTGCAAACTTGGCAATATCAGCACCATGTTCTAACCAACTTCTTAATCCAGTCTTCATGATTCGGTTCTACTTCTTATCCATAGCCTTCCAGCCTGACTCTTCCACTGATCTCCTAATTCCAGCTTTGACCCGCATACCTAAATGATCTACCCAGCCTCACCCTGCTCTGAGGCTTGCTCCCTGAGACTTGACAACCATAATGGCACTTTGCCTGTTATAAGCTGTTAACCTTGCTATGAATGATGCTGGCTGCCCACTTCTGAGTAAGTGTCTGTGCTATTTCCTTTCATTCGTAAAGTGTATCGGACAGTAAACACAGCTGTGGCTATTTGACAAGGCATTATTCACAGTGTAAAGGCCTTCTCCAGTCTAGTGGAATAATATTAATGATCAAGATTACATGCCAAACATGGCAAATTCATTGACAAAGGCAATGCAAAACTTCAATTGCTTCAAGAAGAAAAAATTCATTGAGAAACCAGACCCACATTTGCCTAGTTGTCTCTGATCATGTGGTTTGCTCAACTATTGACAGTGGAAAGCATGAATGAAAATGTTGCCAGGACGTAGTAGAAATGGAGGTGGATTGCTTAGCTCACTTTTAAGATTATATATTTCTTGCTCTGGTAGTTAATAACCTCCAGGGCTATAGTCAATGTAAAGGTATAGGTAAAGGACCCCTGGACGGTTAAGTTCAGTCAAAGGAGACTATGGGGTTGCTGCGCTGATCTCGCTTTCAGACCGAGGGAGCCGGCGTTTGTCCACAGACAGCTTTCTGGGTCATGACTAAACTGCTTCTGGCACAACGGAACACCGTGACAGAAGTCAGAGCGCACGGAAATGCCGTTTACCTTCCCACCGCAATGGTACCTATTTATCTACTTCCACTGGTGTGCTTTCAAACTGCTAGGTTGGCAGGAGCTGGGATAGAGCAACGGGAGCTCACTCTGTCGCTGGAATTTGAACCACCGACCTTCTGATCAGCAAGCCCAAGAGGCTCAGTGGTTTAGACCACAGTGCCACCCGCGTCAATGTAGAGTTTATGGGGACCTAGACTTGAATTTTCTAACAGACAATAGTGGTCTAGATCTAACCTAGTGCCATCCAGATGTTTTGGACTACAAAGCCCATTAGCCTCAGCTGGCTGATGAGAGCTGAAGTCCGAAAATCTTTATAGCACCAGGTTGGGGAACGATGGACTGGGTGGACAAATAGCCTGACTCATATGATGCTGGATGTTATTATTATTATTAGCTGTGTTATTCCTGCATTGCAGGGGTTGGACTAGATGACCCTCAGGATCCCTTACAACTCTACAATTCCATGATTCCACGATTCCATTATTCTATCATCATCATCGTGACCATCATCTCTTTGTTTCTCCATTTTTGTATTATGTACTCTAACACGTGGGATGAGGAATATCTCCCTTCATACCTAAGATTACTGTAGAAAAAACGTAATTGTTTCAGGAAAGCAAGTCACATTTCAAGGACAGAACACAGATTCATTTTGCATCGCAGGACCTTGCAGATTCCCTATTTAAATGCAAACCCTTTCCCCACATATTTTCCAGCCTGTTACTAAACAGTAACCGAGAAGGAAAACATCATACATTTTCGCTTTTTCACCCTTGCCAGAGATCTTGTTAATGAAGAACTTTTCTGGCCAATCCGTTTTACAGATTGCCAGCCCTTAATATGCACAATGACACACACACACATGGCATATCTTACAAGGTGACTGTGGCTGCATATATCCCATCATCACTGAGCTACGGAAGAGCCATGGTCCAGTAGCAGAACATCTCTGAAGCATCTCCAAATAGGGCTGGGAATGTCCCTAGTCTCAAACCCTGAGCTGTTGCCAGTCTGTGTAGACAATACTGAACCAGATGGGCCAACAAATCTGATTCAGAATAAGGCAACTTCTTACGTTCCTGCGTTTACTGCTGCTCCAGTGGTCCTGTTGGGAGTCACCAGGGTCCAGACCTTAGCCTCAATGAGACCCCCTTTGAAAAACACAAGGAGTGTGATCCTGTGGGGCTCTTAGAACAAATGGACACCCTAGGGACTCAGTACCCACTGAAGAAAAAACAGATGTGCATGGGAATATGCTAGAGACAACTCTACTGTGCCACAAGTAGAACCAACCATGTGCTTGCATCATTCTCTGGCATTGGCCTAAT